GAAAGTTAAAACCTCTGGGTAGGATTGAGAAAAAGTTTAGGAAACTCTAAGAATCTGGCAGTTTCCTACAAAGTTAAGGGAAAAAAATCTATTCATAAGCAAGCAATTACATTTTTGGTAAGTATATAAGAGATATGCTAACATTCAAAATAGTTAAAAACAACAAAAAATCCAAGTGTCTATCAACAGGAGATTGGACAAGAAAACTGAAATATGCCTATTCAATGCAATATATAATTTAATAAAAAGAAAACAATATACTGATATAGAGAACAGTATGGATGAACTCACTATCATTATAATGAGAAGCCAGATGCATACTGTGATTGCAATCAGGCTAATTTTAAAGTAAGTAAAACTAATTTGTGATCAGAGAAACTAGAACATGTTCTTTATAAGAATTTGCTTAGCTAGAAACAAGCAGTAATTATATTCTAACTCCTGAGGTAGTAGTTACTAAAAAAAAAAAACCTCACTGAATTGTACAATTAAGGTCTGTATTCAAGTCTGCATTTCTAGGTATATTCTAGGATGTAAAAACCTGGATGACAGGTGCAAGGCCAGACCAAGCAACAAGATCAAAAGACTATTCTAACGTACTGCCTGGGCATAGTGGCACGCACCTGTCATCTGAGCTATGCTGAGATGCACAATTAGGATGATTTCAGTCTGGGCTAGCCTAGGCATAATGTGAGACCTTGAAAATAACCAACACAAAAGAGGCTGGAGCAATGGCTCAACTGATAGAAGGCCTTCCTAGAACATGCAATGCCCTGACTTCAAACTCTAGTACCATTCTCTAACTCAAATAACAGGTCTATCCACTTAATTAATGTCAATTTTACATATATTAAGATGTAAAATATTTAAGACATAATTTCTGATATACATAATAGTCTTCTAAATACTAGAATATCTACCTATTAAGTATATGAAAAAAGGTTAAGGAATAATAAAAGTATGTGTATTATCTGCCACTTGTGCACACACAAGTCTCTTGGAATAGAGACAAGTGTTGTGTGTATGTGTGCACACACGTGCATACAGGTGCATGAGAGAGGACAAACCAGAAACCAACAACACTAGGAAAGACAGAGTTGGTACCTGAGGAGGAGATAATACAGAAGGTACAGAAGTTAAATTACTAACAATGAATACTCTTTTGTAAATTTCGGGGTTTAAAATGCCCATTTTGACATTAAAGTACATTTAAAAATGCTTCTGGGTGAAGCATGGTGGTTTACACCTGTAATCCCAGCTTCTTGGAAATGAAGATTAGGAGGACTATAGTTGGATGCCAATCCCAGGAAAAGTTACTAAGGCTTCATTTCAATCAACAGCTGTGTATGATAGGTCATATTTGTCATAAAACTACATAGAAAACAGAAATAGGAGAATCACAATTTAGATCAGCCTGGGAAGAATCTGATAGATATATAAAAAAGAAAGGGGGGCTTGGAAGGTGTCTCAGTGGTAGAGTGCTTGCCTTGCATGCATGAGGTCCTGGGTTCAATTCCTCAGCACCACATAAGCAGGAAAAGCTGGAAGTGGCGCTGTGGCTCAAGTGGTAGAGTGCTAGTCTTGAGCTGAAGAACTTAGGGGCAGGGAACAGGGCCCAGGGCCAGAGTTCAG